TTGCTGAAGTACCAGAAGTTACGTCGTTGGTTGCTGCTGTACCCGAAATTGCGTTATCGTTCGCCGCTACTGAAGGCGTTTTGGTAACGGTGCTTCTTAAGGTTCTGTTAGTCGGTTCTCCGTTTTTTTCCAGTGGGGCACCTATGGTCGAAGTAAGCAACGCTTTGAGTTGTCTTAGGCTTGCCGTTTCTGGGAACGAGACTCCTAAGTCCTAAAGGGCTTCGGCTATTTGTTGCCTGGCTGCCATTGTCGATTCCAATAATTTTAAAATATATGCGTCTCAATTAATACTTTTGATTTTATTCACCTGATGCTGTAGCGATCTCACAGTATGATATCTTATTATTGTTACATTCCACTTACTTCTATGCTAGTGTTGCCAACAGTCTGTTTATATAATTATTAGTAGATCCTGTGTCCACTAATAGAGTTACGGGAGTGCCTGTTAGACCGCACTTTGTTTGAATGCAGGACGGCCCGTGCATGGAGTAGGGTTTGATGAAGATGTTTTGATGTTAGTTGTTGTTTTGTTTGCTACTGATAAAGATGTTTTGATGTTTTTAGTACGTCACTGGGATAAGGAAAACGTTCCTTAACTCGCGTTGATCCCTGCTCGGGTGCCAGTTACAACTTACGTTCTTAATTATAACGGAAAATTACAAAGTATTTTTATTAATGCTAGACCTACCTACACCTTCCCTTGCTGCGCCGTTGCCGGAGGCTGTTTCAACTGTGCTTTTGTAGTGACTACTCATGGTCAGCGTGCTATTGATTTTTGAGTTATTCTAATCATCTCTGAAATTAAACGTTCCATTTCGGATATGAAACTATTTTGGTATTTCGGGGAATTGAAAACGCCGTTGACTACTGCAAAGCGTATTGCAAATTCTTTGACTGGTGGTTTTACTAATTTTTCAGCGCGTTTTAGCTACAAAATTGGAAGATTTTTTTTTGTCATATTTTTTATTTATATTTGTATTCATTACATCCACGTTATTGTTGTTAAGTCCGTGGAAGTTGACCCCTCATCGTCTAACGATTTCAAATCTAATAGTGTTTTTAGGGTAGTACTTGTCCAGTACTTCATTTCTAGACACTTTTTTAATAGTTTTAATTCTATTGACATTTTCCTTTTTTACCCACTAAGGACAGCCGTTTTTATCCTTGGCTGTATATCCAAGCCTGTTTGTATACTGCAAGTACAGCGTTTACACTTTGCATTACCGCAAATCGTGCAGCTTAGCTTGCCTTTGCAAGAAAGTCGCGTTGTCAGTTAAAAAATTGTTTGCAGCATACGTATTTTTGAAGGTGACTTTGTATAGTGACCTTTCTAAAGCGTAAATAAAGTCTTAAATCTTCGAATCGTAGATCTTTTACCTGGCTGAACAGCTCAAGTCCAATCGATGCTTTATCACTCGTCAATACTGTTTTAGCCGTCGAATAAAGCACAAATATTTCGTATATGAAATTATCAGGATAGCTGGCTATGCACTTGTTGCATAACTGTAACGTCGCTAGCTACACCTTCCCTGCCTCCTTACCTCAAATCACTTTCACCTAACCTAGTTTCACAAGCCATGTCTGCCTTAATTTCAGTCAAAACCCTTTTATCATGAGATTCTTCGAATATTTTCACAAAAAGTGTTGCGCCGTCTCATACTCTTCAATGGAACTTAGTGTTTCTGCCACAGAAAATTTTGCTTCTATGGATCTGTACTTGAGGAAATAGGCCTGCCTTTATGGAGGTTAGGCACTTGAACAGATTTGACTTTCTGTATGAGTTTTCAATTATTTCCCTATAATGTTTGATAGCCGCGAAAGATGCACTTATTGCCTCTCTAAGCATTTTAGCTTGTTCTATTCCTTTTATTGGAGGAAGATATAAAGGTTTGCTCCAGTACTTTAAGCCTGATTTTGAGCAGGTTATATGGTAGGTTAAGTTTTTGATATTGTTGCGAGAACTAGTTTTAACTGCTTTCTGTTTTAGCTTCGCGATTGAGTCTGCTGTTTTATTTTATACGACATCAATGTTATGTAGTTTTCTGGTACAAATGGTAAAGGGAAAGAGGAAAAAAGGCAGGTGCCATATAGGAACCTGTTCCTCACATCTACTTCTTTCATTACCTAGTTGTAATTTTTTGAACGCAAGGAAGTTTATAATCCACTCCTTGTAGTTCTTAGTTCGCGGAGCACTTCCGATTTATAGGCATTGCTAACATCCGTAGAACTTATTATTACTTTGTAGCCGCTTGTGCAGAACAAAATTTATACATACTATAGCAGATTTTCATTTCCTATATAGAACTTGGTTTGTTCCCAAGATCAGAAATAATATTAAGGTTGCAGTCTTCCCTTGGAGGTGGCACTATTGTCCGTCATTCATCAGGTATTTAATTAGTAAAAATTATTAATTAATTAATGCTATTTAGTGCGGTCCCAGATAAGGCCTTTAGTAGTTTATAGGTAATTGTATCCGTTCCACCCGCCGAGCTATTTTCTATGATATTAGGAATATGGTGGCTACCCCCGATCCTGATTGGATCGGTCTTCTATCTAAGAGGAGTGTTGAATCTGGTGAAAGAAAGATCGAAAACTCCCAAGAGGAGAAGATTTTCAAAGCTCTTCAGTAACGCGAGGACTCTCAATCTCAGCGTTGAAAGGATTCGTTTGAATATTTGGCGGAAAAAGCGTGGCCCAAATTGTTAAATTTAGTTTCAAGGTGCAAGTACGAACTATTAGTACATAAAAGTTTCGCGTCTGATGTGGTTGACTTCCTGTTCCTTCTATTGTCGGATAACACATAAACAGCGCTATAACAAAAAATACATTTTTGGTGGCATTGCATTGCATCACATTCAGTGTTCCCACATTTGATGCAAGTTTTTTTTACAAGAAAATTGTTTATGACCTAGACCACATTGTCTAAGAGGTGGAATATAGAACTCTACTTTTAGTTTAGTATACACAAAAACTATGTACCTACATTGCATTGCATTTTTGACTGAACACACTCCAAAGGGTGTAGACAGAGTATGTCTGCTAAGAGCAATCCTTATGGTCTAAACACGCTCTGACCATCGCAATAAACATGATTGCCTAAGTAATATTTACATTAAACTATGTAGAAATGCTTACAGCTCTCCTGATTCTACGCTATATTACCTACCGGTTATTTGTTACGACTTGCCATACTTCTTCGGCTTTCTGCAGTCTTTGGAATGGTGGCCTGAACAATTAAATTTGTAGCCCCTTAGACGTTCATCGGTGCGTTGCTTTAATGCTGTGCGTTCCGGCAATGTAATGTGAGCAGAATGCTTTCACAATTTCGTTTAGTAACATAAAATTGTGCGATCTTTCTTGATTCCGGAGTTGCTTGTCAGGAGTTCCTTCAGCGAGGTAGTCGGCGAATTTTTCATAGCTAATGTTCAAATCCGCTCTTGGGGCGATCTTGTCATTATAATAATTTGTGAAACTTTCTTCGGGCACCCACATTCGACTTTGGAACCTAAGACTGCGTTCAACCTTTCTTCGTGTGTACCCGCTATTTGCTTATCTTTTTCAAGCAGAGTCTTTTGAAAGCTTAAGGAGCTTCATCTCTTTTTGCAGCATTGTCGTTATTGCGTTGCGTTCTGCTTAAGTACAACTCTCGCTATCGCTCTCTTCGGCGTGCCTTACTGGACGACACCCAAAAGTGCCGCTACGTACCCAAAACATGCTGCTTCGAACACACACTCCATCGTTGTCGTCGTCAATAATATTGTTGCTTCTTAAAATTCTGTCGTTGTTTGCACCGTTATTCCCACCATCATTTGTGTTATTGTTCTTAAAATTGGTCTTCAGCTGCAACAGTGAATAACTCTCAGCGCTTATGTTTTTACATTCCATTTTTTATCTATGTAATGGTTTTGCGGACCACTTCTTATGTAATTTATCAGATTTTAGTGGTATCAAATAAAACTCAACTTCTCTTATATTTGCTAAGAACAATCCTTATGGTCTGAACAGACTCTGACCTTCTCTTAAATACTAATTTCGTATAAACTTAAGAGCTATTTACATTAGTGCTTACAGCAAACATGACTTAATACTAGCAATAAACTTGTTTGCTTGAGTACTGTTTACACTAACCCATGTAGAAATGCTGACAACATGAACGCCCGTGATAACACCATGAGTTTCAAAAGCCGTCCTTGAAATGAAGGCTCTTAGACCCGTTTGTTTCAGTTGATCATTTAACAAGACATTGTTTGCGACAAAAGCGCATTTAATGCTACTTTATAAAGGGTATGGTCTATCTTTGTAATTCGGTCCATATCTTTAAACCTATAGGGTTTTGATTTGATCTTATAGTGATTTACCACTATTGGTTCTGTTATCCTTGGCAATTTCGTGCATCTATTAAAACAAAGACATCACCAAGAATATTTTGTGCGTGTCTATACAACTCTGTCCGTACTTTTTCTTATACCGTTAACTGTCACGCTATCCATTGTCTCACTTACTCTTCTGTCATTTTATTGACGGTACTTTCCTCATTATCCATGTTTTTCACATGTGCTTTTACGTTTTTTTTCTAACCTCAGAGGCTTCACTTATATTAACACTTCTGTCAATGTTTTTTGCTTTATATTTCAAAAAACTATCTTTCGCCTCATTTTCTTTTTTAAACGTTTCCCTCTCGTTAAGTTTATGCCCGATACCACCTCAAAATTATCTGCCGTTGACACCCTCGACTGCAATGGCGACGAGTCCATTACGGCTTTTGATTTTTTTGTCGCCGTTCGCGGCAGCCTCGTGTGTATGAAATGTATACATTCATTTGCTGTTGAAAAAAAAAAAAGTATTTTTAGATGTTGAACGCCCACCTGATCGAACTCTATGTTCAGTGAATGTCGATATTTTTTGTTTAATATAAACCGTATTTGAATAGTCTGTGGTTTTTTGAATAAAAAATAAATTTTTCGGCGAAAAATCGTTTTATTTAACCGTTTTTATTTTTATTTTTGAATCAGTCAATATGAAGGCCCTCAAATTAAGTGTTTGTTTCAGTGATGAGCTCTTCATTCGATCCAAATCTCTTACCATCCAGACATTTTTTTCAGGTTGGGAAACAGTTCGTAGCCCAATTTATGAATTTTTTACATGGTGACTACACACTTGTGCACCCGCGCATTGTCTTGATCTAACAGTAGTTTTTTCTTCGCCAAATGCTGTCGTTTCTGCTTCAAGTCAATATTGATTCTGCGCAAAAGCTCTGAGTAGTATTCGCTGGTGATCCCTTTTATGCTTTTCAAGGTTATCGATGTATATGACGCCGCGTACATTCCAACAAACTGTGGCCAAAACCTTGTGAGCACGTTCACCCGGTGAAATCCACTGTCTTGATTGTTGATTGACGATCAAAACGGTACAAAACCTGGTTCGTATTGCACCTGAACAGCGCCAAGTACTTCTCACACAGTTGCGTTTATGGTCGAGTGTGAGCAATTGCGGCACCTATCGCGCGGATTGTTTTTTTCATATCTAAATATACGTGTAATATGTGATGTAACCGCTCAGTTGAGATGCTTACAGCCTAAGCCACCTCATACATACATGCACCTGCACTCTCCGATCGTCCAATATTATTATTTCATGGATTTCATCGATGGTTTCTGGCGCGACGATCTCTTTTGGGCGACCTTAACGTTCGGCGCCACTTGAGCTGGTACCACCACAACGGAGCTCAGTAAATCAATGTTTAACCATTTATATTGAAGGTGCAAACTCGCCATAGTATTTATCAAGCCTTTCCTTGGTTTCGGTGATGTTTTTTTTTTACGGAAAAAATTATGCTCAATCAGTACAAATTAACTTTTTTCCATTTTCGTTAAAATTCACGAGTAGGGGAAATTTAAATTGCATAAACTTATTCATTTTGAACAAATATATTTTAATTTACTTATTCGACTACTACCTCACTTATTTTTTTATTAATTAAAAAATATATTTTATGAAACTTCTTTATTGTATTAATAATGGTAAAATGCTTTTGGCGCTTCTTTTCATTACATATTCCTGATTCCTTGGTTTATGTTTTCAGTGAAAATACGCTCACTGACATGTGGTATAAAAAACAATGCATCAATTGATCAACTCGGAAATCAGTTCCCAGTTATTTGTAACAGTATTAGAATTTTGAAAAAAAAATACTCCTGACGTGATAGTATCTGACTGAAAATCAATCTCAGTCAAAGACAAGTACTGTGATAATATTTACAGTTCCATCCAAGATTTATCGATAAAAAAAGTTTTAAGTTTAATATGTCAAATCAAGTTATGAAACGGTAGAAACAAGCATTTAACACTTCCTTTTATAGTTAAATATAATATTCTACAAATTGATTTACTATAAAATTCTTTTACAATTAGAATTCTTTTAAGTTTATGTCTATCCTTTTCCTATTTCCGTTTTGTTTTGGTTCACTTTTATTTCTTTTCTTTTTCTGCTCTCTTTTGTTGTTTCCAGAACAAATAAATGCAACAACTACCGCCTGCATGCCCTTGAACGGGCATCTGCTCACTGCAGCTTCGTCAATCGCCAACGCCAACATCAGCATCTATTCTCATACCAATGCAGTACTAGCAGCGACCAACAATCGCCCTCCTGCTGCAGTTATCGGTGTTCCTCCTGTTTCTACCGTGGCTGTCAGCGTCAATGGCACTTCATTGAATACTTCAAGTGGCGGCAATAACTATACTAATCCGCCTATATTCAACCACCCGCCCATCATTTCACCCACATTCATCGAACACAAGTACTCGGCGAATACTTTCAAAGAGAAATTTTTGGCAAACCTGCGTGCCAACCATACTAGCGCCCACAAATCAAATAATAATATCAATGGTAGTAGCAACAACAAACAATCGTCTGACAATTGCAATGCTACTACCAATGACAGTAACAACAATAATGGCAACAATGCCAATGCGGTCGCTAATGAAGCTGGTACCGATAATTTGATGGGCAATCACTCTAGCAGCGACTCAACAGCCAACGCTACTGTCGGTATCGATGACTTGTGTTCCATACAACAGCAATTAAGTGAAAACTATAATAAGAACACGATTTATCAGAAGACAATAAATTGAACGCTTTCAATGAGACGACCAGCTTCAAAGTGGTGAAGTTGCGGAGCTGCGTGCAATATCCACGTATTTATATATGTCCTATATATATAAATAATACGTTAAATATTTGGCTGTGACGAAGATGACGAAGACTACAGAAAGGCAAAGCGGCGAGTGCAACAAACAAAGAAATTTAATTCAAAAAGTATAATAATTAAATAAACAACAATGCACGAGAGAGAATTGAAGGCTGGGGTAAAAGCTGAAGATAAATGGTGGGTGCAAATTGGGCGGTTAGTTGAGATGCTATGACACTCCTCATAATTGCGAGGTAAAGCTTAATATTTTTCAGTTTCGTTTTGAGCTATACGATAATCTGCATATTTTTTGTATTAGTTAAAGCTTTTTGTTTAAATTTAAATCATATTTCACGATTATTCTTTTTCCTAATTTCATCGCATTGAATTCATTGTACACATTTTTTGCTTTAAATACGAGATTTTGTCAAACATTTATTTACATAATTGGATTAAATAAAAATGGGGCCGCACGGCCGCTGATGTAATACAGAAACTGCAATATGAAAATAATACGATTTATAAATCAAAACTTTGTTTATTTTTCTGTGGCGAGACTTTTGTCAAACGTTTGGTTTCTGTAATTACTTTTAGGCGACTAATAATTCCATTGCAACAATCGTTACAGAATCGTCCTTTTTTAACCTGTGCATGTAGTATAATTAAGTATAATAGTGAAAAGAAATTCTTAAGTATGTGTACTATCAGCAACTAACATAACGGAATGACTTTTACATTCTTATACAAAACTAAACTGTCTTTAATTTTTGGTATCCAATGTCTCAGCAGACCAAATGTTCGCAAATCATACCGCCTGCGCCGGGTTTTACAATCAAAAAAAGTTTTCAAAGGTTTTCTGCTCACATGCGAGCTTGTGTGCGGACATTTAGCCAGACTCGGTAAAGGCTCGTGTGTTGGTCAGCTGGGGTAAAACATACTGCCTATAAATGCCTAAATTTATCAACAAAATTACTCTTTTGTATTTGTTTGCAGCGTAAACTTTTTGAATCTTTTTGGGAGGGAAAAGTATTTTAAAATACTTTTATACAATATTTACAGCGAGTGCAAATTTAAGAATTTCATGTCGCTAGCTGAGTGAAAAGTTGCTAAGTCCACTTTTTATGAAAACTCATATTTTAATTCAGGATAAATAAAAATACACCGTTTCGAAAAGGAGTATGCTCCATACTTGTTTTATGTTTTTTCGTTTATATTCAATGAAAGGACAATTTTCTAAGTCCAAAAGAAGCTCCGATAATTCCATGAGGCCAAAATAGAACGAAATCTTTTAATAAAGATCGAATCCCTCTGATTTGTATGGAGTTTTGCTTTGCTTTAAAAAGGAAAAATGTTGTATTCAAAGTTTTGCGAAATAGTACTTGAAGAAAATGGCCATACAAATTTTTTTCTTCCTGTAAAATTTTTAAATTGGGACTTAGCAACTTTTCACTCTAAGCTAGCGATACATGGACATATGTATGTAATCGAGCAAGCATGAATTTTCGAAATAATTTCGTAATTGAATTTGGGTTATCAGACTAAGTATTGGCAGTGCACATTGATTTCATTGCTTTTGGCTGCGTACTCGATGCACTTAAATAAGTCTCTACCAAAAGCTAATAAGGTATATAAAAAAATAAAAATAAAAAATAAAAATTATCGTAACTAACAAAACTCGCTGTACCAAAAACTATCTCAAAGGAATACAAGCATTATCCTAAACTCATACTTACCCATTTACATGAATATATATGTATGTATAAACAAAAATATAATAGCATTCGTAATGTTACGCTAAGGCACTCGTAATAAAAATTAGGAAAATTCTTTATACTAAAAATCTCGATAAAAAAAAATTACATACACACATGCAAATGTATGTAAAAGTAAGCTTTAAGGCCAAATTTGCATTTCTTTCCACGCGAACTAGCTGCCGCCAGTTTTTCATATCCTTACCTCTCAGTCTTACTGTCTCTTAACACACTCGCTCTTAAATACAATAGTTTATGGCCATTTTCACAGTAGAGAGTTGTCTCATATTCGGGAGTTAATCAGCAATTAACTTCTGAATATGATTGCACTCTACACTGTAAAAACAGCCCTTTTTAGCCTGTCAAATCATTTGATTTTAACTTTTTCTGTAGCAAAATGTAACGCTATTTGTATATGATACGTATGCATATGAAAATTTGTTTATTCTCTTTAACTAGTCACTATTCTTATAGGCAAATTATAACTAATTTATGGTTTAAAAATCGTATTTATAATTATTTTTGTACATAATGGTTAGCGTAGTTGGTAAATAGTGAAATATTAGGTGCGTTAATTTGCCGATTAGTTTGAAGATATGATGTCAAATGATTGAAATTAATAAAATATGTATGTATCTAGTAACTATGTATTTTTTCTTTAAAAGAAACCCTTGAAGTAAGAAATAAAAATAAACAAGCTAATGCCTACTTGGTAAGGAGCGCGGCGTTTTCTTTTCATGATTTTTGTTAATGGTCGTCGCCTTTACAATGCGTCTATGTACAATTCATTAAGAAGTTATACGCTCTGTTCACTTTTGTGCATGTATTAAGAAGTTAAAATTGAATGTTAAAAATAATAAAATGGTTTACATAGAAAGTATGATTATCAAAAAATAAAAAATAAATAATAATAAATGAATTGTGAAATAAAGTCTTAACCCATACAGCTAAAGAATATCGCTTTTCTATGCCTACTAGTGTGAGTGTGTTCAAGGTTCCAATTATTGTACTACGTAAAAATACATACATATGAATACATAAAGCATAAAGCTCTAAAAATAACCTAATTCAAAAGGTTTGTAATATTTGTATCTAATAATCAGCCTAATCGCCAACCCCATGTGAATAAATCGTTACCATAGTTTAACAGGCAAAATAAAAACAAATTGCGAAACTTTTTTTGTTTTGCTTTATAATTTTTGGCAATATTTGTCCACATGGAACTCATAATATGGCCGAATAGAGCGATTAAAAAAAGCTTGACATTAGTTTTGTTGTAACGATTTCTTTATCTTATTTGGTTTTAGAAAATATGTGTATTTGATGTTTCTGCTGTCGAAAGTAGAATTTATTAAATCGTTACCTAAACCAACTCCCGTTTGCAATCCCAGCAGATAGTTTCAGGAGCTAAAAACCCTTGCAAAAGGATTTCTTGAGTGTCGCGAGGCCCTCCACTCTGCGTTTCTTTCTCCTTTCTTTTGTGTACGGAGTGGCACAAATTGAAGGTCTTCTGCTTTTGCTACCCATAGAAGGCACTTTCGAGGAGTTCTTTCAAAGCTGCTTCTTTAATTCATAAAAAAACATACTTTAAGGTATTTATTTAAATTTATCAAATATGTTTTATTGCAACTTAAAATGAATATGTTAAATTCATTAGTAATGATAAATAATATTAACTTCCACATTCGCGTAAATTGTAAATAAAAAAAGCCCTTCAATAGGGCTTGCAAGGAAGCACTTTTTTCTTGGGTAAACTTTTAGAATCGCTTCACTTAAACTATATTCACATTACAGCATAAATTACTTTGATTTGGTCAAATTACTTCACCTAAATCAAGTAAGTTCACATTTTCATTCAAAATGTCTATAGCACGTGTACGTACGAGTGTGTAGTTTGTACTTGATTTCAAAAAACAAATGGTTACATACCTTAAGGCATGTTTTCAAATTTCTTCAACAGTGGAGGCTAAAATAAATGAAAGACCGTTTTTTCTTCAATTCCTTCTTGATTTATGATAAATTATTTCATTTCTATTTACAGCCCGATTCTATACACTTGATAAACTGAAAATCTTTATAATTTGTCAATTTTTTATTATTCATCAAGAATTTGTATTCTAGCACAGAAATCAAAAGTTCTTTTCTTGATAAATTATCAAGATTTAAAATGCTTTTGACAAATTGAAATTTGATAAAATTTCTTTACAAAAAATTTATCAAGAAAACACAGAATAGGGCGGTTAATTTATTGAAAGATTTTACAAAGCGAAATTACTTGATTTTAGCATGATTTGCATATAAATTACAAATAAGCGTAAATTACGATAATGTGAATATGATTTAAGAAGACCTACCTTAGTTATCTTCTGGGATTCTCAATTCTATGTAATTTTCTTTTAATTTGAAGAACACTCTTCATTTGATTTTAACAAGCGGTATATAAAATTGCTATCTCTTAACCACCAACCCAAGTAGGACTAACAATTAAAAAAACTTAGTTCAGTTTTATTCATATATGTAAGTACATATGTACATACATACATACATATGTATGTATATATGTAATTGTAAGAAATATATTTAAAAAAATTACACCGTAAAAAAATTTTAAATGAAATAAAAAGTAAAAAACATAAAAATAAAAAAAAGAAGAAAAAAAAAACAATAAAAAGTGAAAACATTGAAGAAAAAATATTTCATCTTATATAAGACTGCTGTGTTTTGTTCGTAAAACATATATGTATACTATGTAAAATTATTATAGTAATAATTGTCAATATATTGTACTATACAAAGCAAACAAAATATCAACAATACAATAACTAATCACGATTATAATATTAATATTTTTATGTAAAGCATTATCCTTAGCATACAATATTAAATATACAAATGTGTAAAAATATGCATACACTACATACATATGTATTTAAATATGAATAACAATGTAATGATATTGAAATGAAAGGCAAGGAATGTTAGTTAAATATAAAAAAATATATTTCTTTTTTGCTTTATGTGATCTATTACCTAAATACCTTCATACATTATACATACACAACCATACATAACTACATATATACTAAGGTGTATACACATACATACATACGTACAGTATATATACACACACATATATTTAATTGGAAAAATAAATGGTCCTTTGAAAAATGTCAAATTACGTGTATTTTTTACTTTACGTTAAATAAAAAAAATAGCTGCACATAAAGCTGGTTTCAAGTCACATAACACTGTTTGTTTTGTAACTTTTTCAGTAAATACTAGCAGCGAGACTGGATGACGTGGGAGGATGGTTCCGTGCGTAGAAGTGGAAAGCTTTTGACTGTCATTCACCTGGGAGTAGCCAGAAGTGATTATTGTGCGTACGGTTCAAACCGCAGCTCACAACGTCCGGATATTTAAAGAACAGAAAGCCTCGGATGATACCCCCTTTTGTTGATGAGGACGACGGCAAACGTACAAAGGTTTTAATGCCAAGGTGGACAAAGAAGGGATCTTTGGCGCCACTGTCGGAAAATTCAGCCTCCACGGCTAAACTTCCGATAACGGACTGAGTACTAGGTTCCGCCATAAAAAGACCACCAAGCTACATGGCTGTCTCCAGATCGAAAAACGAGAAAACAAATCGACCACGTTGTGATAGACGGAAGGCATTCTTCCAGTGTTTTAGACGTACGTACACTCCGAGGGCCAAACATCGACTCGGATCACTATCTTGTTGTAGCCAGGATACGCACCCGCCTTTTTGCAGCAAAAAATGTGCACTCACCACTGCAAGGAAAGCGTCGAAAAGCACAACAAAAGGCCAATTTATTCGCCACTAGACCCACACACTAGCTCTCTGAGAGCTAGAAAGGCGACCCCGCCATAATCGCCAACTACCCCAGGATCAGTCTTCTAAGCATAAGACTGAAGCCCAACCTCAACGAACTGATTGGACCTTACCCGTGTGTGGCTTTAGGCCTGGCAAATCCAACATAGATCAGGTATTTACAATAGGCCAAATCTTGGAAAAGACCCACGAGAATAGGATCGACACAAACCATCGATTTCAAAGCCTGTCAGAATTTGGAAGGACCTCTCCGAGCCGTTTGATACCAAACCCGGTTTCAGACAAGATTTCTCCCTTTCGTGTGATTTCTTTAATCTGATGTTGGAGAAGATAATCAGAGCCGCAGAACTGAACCGCTCAGGGACAAACCTTTACAAGAGCGTATAATTGCTGGCGTATGCCGACGAGATCGATATTATCTCGGGATTAGATAGAGAAGCAAAGCGAATGGATCTGGTGGTGAACGAGGACAAAACGAAGTATCTCCTGTCATCACACAAACAGTCAGAGCATACGCGTCTTGGCACCCACGTCACTGTTGACAGTTACAAGTTTGAAAAAGTAGACGACTTCGTTTATTTGGNGTATGGCGCGTAGCCGTTAGACCATGAAAACATCTGATGAAGTGGCTCTTGGAGTTTTCGAGAGAAAGATTTACGGACCTTAGGCATTGGCGATGGCGAATACCACAGACGATTTAACGATGAGCTGTAGGAGCTTTACAACGATATAGGCATAGTGCAACGAATTAAAATTCGGCGGCTGGGCCATGCCGTTCGAATGGACAGAAGGGCGCCTCTCCGTTGGAAAGACCAGATGGAGAAGAACTTGGCTTCACTTGGGCATTTCCAATTGACGTCAGTTGGCACAGAAGAGAAATGACTGACACCGCCTACTTATGATCAAGCGCTGTATCTCAGTAGCCGCTTCACCAGTCCTTACCAAACCCGGTACGAGCATTGCCTAGGGTCTAGCTAAGAGATCTGTTGAAATTCTTTGAAATCAAGCAATAACCACGCCCACCTACCCAATAACGGCATTTTACAGAAGAACGAAAGCTGCGATAAATCAGTACCTACTGAAGCTAATTCACTGAAAATCGGTTATTGCGATGACTTAGCAGAAAGTTAGATTAATAAAATATTTTGAATAATGAACGTGGCGTCGCCCTCTTATGCCCGCAAACGTGTACCTCGGTAACCGATTTATCAATTTCTACCAAAATTTGTTGTTGTTGCAATTTGTTGAAAATTTTATCAAATCGGGCTTAAATTATACTCCGATATTGCAATAACAGAAGAGGCTAATTTACTCAAAGTTAATAGTCATAACAATCTCTTTGCAGTAAATAAGACTGCTATAGACTTTGAGGAATTGGGCGTGGCACCGGCCACCTTATGACTACAAGGGGTATCTCGGTAACCACTTTATCGATTTCTACCACACTTGGTTTAATTATATCATTAAGTCTAAGTAAAAAAATACCCCTGCTTATCATGCAATGGTAGTTTAGAGAAATTGAAATTGAAACAACAGTATTTGATATCTGCGCCGATTTTGCCCGAACTTATACTTCTTTCCCTGATTTTTATCCCTCGGTTCTCTGGCTTCTTTTGCCTTTTGATAGTTTTACAGGTTTAACCCGGAAAAGTTGGGGAACGCAACTTAAGAGTGTTCGCTATGCAAAAAACGTGTACTAGTTTGTACCAATTGTTACCAAATGGTGTTCGTTTGGCCAAAAAGCCAGTAAAACTTGCAAGGAGAGAGCACAATTTGGACATTTCATTTGGAGGGGAAGTTGCGAATTCATGCTGGGAAAATTTTTGCCAGCAAGAATTTGCAAGCAGGATTGTGGCACACGGTTGCATTTTGGTCAACATTAATTTGAATCAACAAGTTCGTTAAATTTAAAAATTTACAATCTTGTTACGATTTACTAAGGAAAGAAATATGTAATTATTTGTTTATTCAATTAATTCCAAACATTTGAAAGGTACTCGGTTGAAATAGCTGTATTCGTAATGGAAACGCAGTTCACACCACTGTCCATATAGGAAATCCGACAGTGATTTCCACAAAGAAATTGAAGCGTATGTTGAAGAAAGTCAGAATAAGAAGAAATATACGTATTGGTACTGTTTTGTTTTCCACCTGAAATAATTTCAAAAAATTATTATGTTCGAAATGCAACCGTGGACGCCAGCTGGCGGTGAAGCTTGAAAATGTTTGCTCATTCCTGTTCGCGCAAAACTCAGGAAGTTTCTTTCTCAGTATTTTAGTACTGGCTAATTCTTAGGAGCGATTTTTCCAGAGCAATGTTGAATCGCCTGGAAAATCGCCTCATGTAAAGGCAGCTTAAGCATCAAGAACCCCGTATTTATGGTCTGNAAAGCCAGTAAAACTTGCAAGGAGAGAGCACAATTTGGAGATTTCATTTGGAGGGGAAGTTGCGAATTCATGCTGGGAAAATTTTTGCCAGCAAGAATTTGCAAGCAGGATTGCATTTTGGTCAACATTAATTTGAATCAAGTTCGTTAAATTTAAAAATTTACAATCTTGTTACGATTTACTAAGGAAAGAAATATGTAATTATTTGTTTATTCAATTAATGCAATTAATTCCAAACATTTGAAAGGTACTCGGTTGAAATAGCTGTATTCGTGATGGAAACGCAGTTCACACCACTGTCCATATAGGAAATCCGACAGTGATTTCCACAAAGAAATTGAAGCGTATGTTGAAGAAAGTCAGAATAAGAAGAAATATACGTATTGGTACTGTTTTGTTTTCCACCTGAAATAATTTCAAAAAATTATTATGTTCGAAATGCAACCGTGGACGCCAGCTGGCGGTGAAGCTTGAAAATGTTTGCTCATTCCTGTTCGCGCAAAACTCAGGAAGTTTCTTTCTCAGTATTTTAGTACTGGCTAATTCTTAGGAGCGATTTTTCCAGAGCAATGTTGAATCGCCTGGAAAATCGCCTCATGTAAAGGCAGCTTAAGCATCAAGAACCCCGTATTTATGGTCTGCTCTATGCTTATGTTATACGAAATTATTTTACATATATAAGTTGCGTTCCAGATGCTTCACGATATTCACGAAATTCACGATTTGCAGGAACAGCTGTTTTCCCCATTAATAAACCTTATGGGAGGTGGTCACCTGGAACGACTTCCTGTAAAAACCTGCAAATCGTGAAGCATCTGAAACGCATCTATTCATATACATAAATGAAGCATAGTGAAATTGCTCGGAGCAACTGTTAATGCAGCAGTAAGACTCAAAGAAATCAGATCATGGATCAAAGTAATCTCTAGTCTTTCAGATATCTTAGGAACATAAACGTGTCAAAGGTGTATCAAGAAGAAGTGTTCGCCATCCAGGAGACCTCATGGAATCTAGCTCAAAGATATAGAGAGAACAGAAGAGTCTTTATCCTCTTTGGATAACTCTTTCGTCCTATTTCCTTATAAGAACTTTTATTTGCTTACATGACGCGTCGCATCAATGCAGCAGTTTCAAGATATGCTTCAGGAGGGTGCTGCTCTTGAGTCAACGTGAACTAAGAAATTTTACGTAAAAAACCGATTTTCATTTTCAGCGCTATTTTTGCATTCGAAAAATCGAAAACGCCGCGAAGCAAGCGTTCATTTGATAGTACATATATGAACACTAAAATTTTTTTATTAATTAAATTATGTAATTATTTATTAAAAAATATTATTAGAATACAATTAAAATCAACACTTTATGCTGGGTTTCTACTAGGCATTAAATGAAACAAATTTAAATGACAAAGTTGGCGTTTACGAATACCATGGTACGTTAAGAAAAATGTTAAATTCGTTTCCAAAATATTATGTAATACCTCTATATTGGCAGTATGCTAACTTCTCAATGTGTAAGTATTCCGAAATCAAAGTGAGACAGTCAGTACCGTTTTTGTGAATGTATTGTGTACGTGAGCGCCGTTTTTGTGTATGTGTTGTATACATGTTTATTTATAAACGTATGTGTCCCTCTTCTTTCGTACGTGTTTGTTGATTTATCTGTACTGTAATGTTTTCGGACGGTACTAGCTCTTACTGCCAATATAAGAGTGTGTATTACATATGTATATGGTTTCCAAATGGCATTTTTTTATATGCCATGCATTTTTCGCCATATCAATGCCAAGTAGAATTTCAGCATTACACATCTTTGATTTATCCGATGTTGCTCACTTTTTATTACCTCTCGTGCATATTTAACATATTGTTTGGCTGGAATATTGTGATAATGTTTAATATGTGTACATAGTTATAATTACAGATGAATGATTACAGTATTTTTCATTTGTATATCATTGCGTTATTGGTTTAATATTTACAAATATAAAATTGTGTATCTATAGGATTTTATTTTTTTGAAGCCAACTGCGCAATATACGAGCTGATTTTCTCTAATAGCATGCGATTACCATTCGCACTTGCTTTATTTTGTACGGCATATAATGTGTTCATATCACGTTGTTCAAATGCGCTATCCGCAGCTTCATCCCATAATCTACAAAAGTATATTGTTTATAATTATAGTACATATTTAAATATTGTCTTAAAACTCACTCTGCACGTAAATACCAATGCGCCTTCCGATCGTCCCGACATTTCATAATGTATTTGCGTGCCTCATGCAAATTATTTTGCTGTAGACACATTTCTACAAACGGCTCATAACCAATGGGACTTTTTTTACTTTTTGCAAATTTCTCCAAGTCATCCCATTTGTATTTTTCAGACAAGGTTATAATGCGCAACCACCAAAAGCGCTTATCTGGTACCTTGAAGTCATTTTTGATCTTTTCCGCTTCTTTGAGCTCTCCAATCTGTAGCAACAGTAGCATCGTGTCATGTATGGAGAGACCATTGAAGCTGATTTGATGCACCTTGCTGTATCTAAAAATTATTCGACTTTATTTGGAACTTTTTGTAAATTATGCATTGAGGCTCACTTGGGAGTTAATACATTCTTTTGCATTTTCAATATTTTTCCTGTGTCAGCACACAATTCAGCCTCGACATGCTTTCGCCCCTGTGTATAACTATTGGCTATGATAGGCAGATTTGACTCTAAGCTATCGCTCTCGAGTGCATTGCGGAAATGGTACTCGGCAATGGATTTTTGGTCATCCTCTTGATTGTAGATATCATACAGCGCAGTCCGACTCCATTCGTTCATCATTTTCTTGTAGATATTTAAAGCCATAGGATATTCGCGTATAATTATCTGAAATGTGGTATTATTACATAACTGATGGTATTTTTAAAAGTTATTTACATTAAAATTTGCAAGCATCATTTTCTTTTTAATCTCCAATAGCACAGTAGCCACCAGCTCCGTATCCCCAGATTGCGTGGCACTTCTAATGGCGCGGTCATACTTGCCCAATTTTAGCAATAGCGGCACTTGCAATGATGCGCGAGGTTCCAGTTCAAGCAGCTAATAAATTAAAAATGTATCACATTTTTGCATATCTACAAATTTAATATGTTCATGCAAATACTTTTATAGCAAGTTCATCGCGTCCCACATCATGCGCCTTTTCAGCGATGTTACAAAAAGAGATCCCTTGCACTGAAGGATTTTTGAATTTTTCGGTAATTTTTCGCGCAACCTCATTATCGTCTGTAATAAAATAGTTACTTGCGTTGTAAGTGGGACGAATTCTTATTTGGCTTACTTTTGTCATTTACAACTTTGTGGTAAGCCCAGTGTTCTAAAATCCACGACTCTGGTAATTTCAGGTGTTTTGCTACCTGTATTGCAATGGCATAATGTTTCCGAAAGACTAGGCGGCCTAGCACAACTTCCGGTTTCAGATGACAAAATCTAGAATAAAATTTAAATCGCGCACCTTTAATTTACTAAGATATAAAAATTTGAAGCAAATTACTGTTTATAAGTCAATGGCATTGCAATTTTTTCATGACGTAAAGCATTAAGCACGCGTAGTATTCTGAGTATCCGCATGTATTCATCAGGATTGTGTGAAGGAANGAAGAAAATTACTGTTTATAAGTCAATGGCATTGCAATTTTTTCATGACGTAAAGCATTAAGCACGCGTAGTATTCTGAGTATCCGTATGTATTCATCAGGATTGTGTGAAGGAATGAAACCTTTGCCAAAGTACGCAGTCTTAAATGAAAGTTATAATATATTTAATTTTTTATGTGTAGCGCAAATTAGCAAAATTATTTACACGTAACAGGCTCTTTTGTGTCTCCGTGCAGAATTCATAACCTGCTGCTTCGATGCATTCATCGACTGCTATGTCCATTTTGTTGCGAAACAAACTCAAATATTCATCAGCTTGGTGTGATTTTTCTTGGTATTTCTTTTGTGCCTCAAATAAAAAGCTGGAAGGTTCTTGGCTGTTTACCGCAAATATATTTTGTACACACTTCGGCAACTTTTGAATCATTTCATGTGCGTTGTTAGTTATAATTCGTACACCATCCATTTCGGCCACGAGAAAAATTGCTGGATCATAGGTGAACAGATTTTTATCGCCATTGCGGTTAACAACCAATAGGAATGAAGGATAGGATATGACTACAGCATCAGCCTGATGGTTCTCAGAGCTCATAACCCATTCAATTTGCCGTGGAATATCTTTTCTTCCTGTGTCAAATTCACAATATTTTTTATTCATATCTACTGAGCCTAGCCATAGGAGCCCATTATTTGTATACAACGCTAGATTTTGATGATTGTAAGACACTGACATGAGTAGTATGCGTTCGAAAGGTCGGTCAAAGAGATTTCGTTTAATCGTGCCCACGGACTCGCCAGGGAATAATTTAATAATTTCTTGATCACGACCCAACAAACAATATGTGTTTCGTTCTTCTGTGATTATTTCCCAACAAGTGCATTCTGACACGGATTCTGAAAAAGCCATACCATAAGAATGTATATACTTACATATATCATTTAACTNTAAGCAAATTACTGTTTATAAGTCAATGGCATTGCAATTTTTTCATGACGTAAAGCATTAAGCACGCGTAGTATTCTGAGTATCCGCATGTATTCATCAGGATTGTGTGAAGGAATGAAACCTTTGCCAAAGTACGCAGTCTTAAATGAAAGTTATAATATATTTAATTTTTTATGTGTAGCGCAAATTAGCAAAATTATTTACACGTAACAGGCTCTTTTGTGTCTCCGTGCAGAATTCATAACCTGCTGCTTCGATGCATTCGTCGACTGCTATGTCCATTTTGTTGCGAAACAAACTCAAATATTCATCAGCTTGGTGTGATTTTTCCTGGTATTTCTTTTGTGCCTCAAATAAAAAGCTGGAAGGTTCTTGGCTGTTTACCGCAAATATATTTTGTACACACTTCGGCAACTTTTGAATCATTTCATGTGCGTTGTTAGTTATAATTCGTACACCATCCATTTCGGCCACGAGAAAAATTGCTGGATCATAGGTGAACAGATTTTTATCGCCATTGCGGTTAACAACTAATAGGAATGAAGGATAGGATATGACTACAGCATCAGCCTGATGGTTCTCAGAGCTCATAACCCATTCAATTTGCCGTGGAATATCTTTTCTTCCTGTGTCAAATTCACAATATTTTTTATTCATATCTACTGAGCCTAGCCATAGGAGCCCATTATTTGTATACAACGCTAGATTTTGATGATTGTAAGACACTGACATGAGTAGTATGCGTTCGAAAGGTCGGTCAAAGAGATTTCGTTTAATCGTGCCCACGGACTCGCCAGGGAATAATTTAATAATTTCTTGATCACGACCCAACAAACAATATGTGTTTCGTTCTTCTGTGATTATTTCCCAACAAGTGCATTCTGACACGGATTCTGAAAAAGCCATACCATAAGAATGTATATACTTACATATATCATTTAACTTTACTACCACAAAAAATGATATTTTTTGTGATTAACTAACTTGGAATTTCTGGAAGCTGTCGTGTACGAACGTCTTTCGCGTTATTGAGTTTCAAGAATATGCGTCCGGTTGTTGTAAGCACGGCTATGCCGGTACCGGAAGTGGATTGAAATATTTTAGCATCCACAATCTAAATTAAATATTTATAATTGCAAAAAAGAAATATTTTTTTTTTTTTTTTATCAAACACACACCTTGGTTAAACTAGCCTCTTGGCCCATACTGTATGAGTCCTTTTCGTTGCCAAACATGTCATAAATAAATACTAATGCATCATCTTGGACACAAATAAGCTCCTCCATATCTGACCAGCCCATATTAATTAGTTTGCCGTGGTTCCACTGTAACCAATTTGGAATTGTGTAAAAAGATTCATTTACAAATATGCATTATTTTTTCCGTATTATATACAAACCATGATTTTGCCCAACTCCAGACCGGCTGTGTCGAATATGCGTATCGTGGGTTTGACACTACCTTTAACTGGTATAATTTGCTTTGGATCTCGCATCACGGCTAATGGTCCACCAAACGGTGCGCCCACAACTTTCATGTACTCCAAGTCCACATCCAGTGGCCAGTCGGGAGTAAAAAGGTCCAATTTTCTTGAAAATGTAGCGCGTATATTGAACTGGATTATACATAGTGAATATAAAACCTTCGATATATTACCTATACGTATCCGGGCGTAGGACGAACCAATCGCCCGTGTTATACATAATCGGCATTTGGAGTTTTCTTTGTTTAGTAGAAAATCGAAAAATTGCAAGAAACTCCTACTTGCAAAATAATAACAAATGCACTTAATGATTAGAAATGGAAACATTTAAGCAATGTTATCGATATATTTGTTAACAAAATTTAAGACTATCGATATCGTTATAACCAGTAGGACAGTGATAGGACTTTCTAAAATTACAATGGATGCAGCACATTGTATGTAATTCTTGAATACTAGAAGTATTTTTTGTTGCGAACCCGAACGAGTCTGGACTAGTCAGAAATAGTCAAAATCAGTCAGATTTTATTGGGAATCGATCCCGTACTCGGTTCTCTGACTTTTGAGAGGACAAAAAAGAGAGNATTCTAAAATTACAATGGATGCAGCACATTGTATGTAATTCTTGAATACTAGAAGTATTTTTTGTTGCGAACCCGTACGAGTCTGGACTAGTCAGAAATAGTCAGAATCAGTCAGATTTTATTGGAAATCGATCCCGTACTCGGTTCTCTGACTTTTGAGAGGACAAAAAAGAGAGTAAAAAAGGTCATCTCTCTGTCAGAAGTTTCCAGTTTTAGTCCAAAGATTTTTTGCTGGCAAGTTCTGGTAAATGTGTCAAACGATCAGCTGTAGTGTGTTTGGCAACCAAATTGTAAACAAAAGAAAAGTACACTCTGCTAATGCATGTTGAAAAGTATTTAATTACTTGTTTAAGTGGAAAGAAGAATTTGAAAGTATTTTTGGTTATTTATATGTGGGAGCTGAGTGTGTTTACGTATAAAATAAGCAAAAATTACAACCAAAATTTGGAGGTTATGTTGTTGTTGACAGAAGTTACAATTTTTTACTAGAAAGCTATCCCGCACTTTCCAATGTTACTCTCTCGCTCGGAGGAATTTTTATTTTTGACAGATTCACTAGTTTCAGTCAGAGGAATACCGAATTGGACCTTACATATATGTCGAGCACCATTTCTTTTTTTCTAAAACTGATTAATGCCACATTCACTATCGTAGGCCCTTTTTAAGCAAAATATAAATAAATGGCTGCCCCATTTCATTAACTTGTTTTGCCGTGCTTTCCTCCAATTTTCGGCGCTACTGTTTGCGTTCATGCATTTTTTGTAGAACATTAGTTGTCAACTGAACACTGTGCATTAAGTTGTCAACTAGATCAGCTGTTTTGATTCTCTGGTAAATGCAAAACGAATATGTGAATAACCGTATATCATGTAAATTGTTGCTAAATTTTCGGGTCTAACGTGTTCTGGAATCAATCGGTTGTAAAAACTAATTACATTAACTAATAACAAACACAAAGCATACGGGTGAGTGGCAGGAAGATTAAAAGTGCAACAATGCGCGTATGTATATATATTTTAAATTTCATCTTTTAAATCAAACATTCCATCATGCAGTGCACACGTGTCAGAGCCGCCAGGTTAGTCCAACAACCATCTACAAATATGGATACAAGTGAATCTCCAGGTGTAGCAGAAGGTGTGGACGCACTCACGTTGAATAGTCCTGGTGATGTTAAAGTAGACAAGGTACCGAACGGTGTAGAGGCCACGGAAGATGACGCAGATGTTGTGGATCCGTGGAATGTAACCTGTGCTAATGATGAAGGCATAGATTACGACAAGCTAATAAGTAAGCAATTTTTTATTTTTATTTTAGTACTTCAATAACTGAAAAAATCATTTGTAGAACGTTTTGGTTCCTCGAAAATAGATGAAGAGCTGATAACACGATTTGAAAAGATAACTGGAAAACCAGTACATCATTTTATACGTCGTGGTATTTTCTTCTCTCATCGTGATTTTCATACGATTTTGACTCTGAAGGAACAAGGAAAACCATTTTATCTTTATACTGGACGCGGACCAAGTTCGGGATCATTGCATATCGGACATTTAATACCATTTTATATGGCCAAGTATGTGTTGACATGTTAAGAGTATTAGAGTATTAGTAAAGTAAAGACGATTACAATGCCTTTTAGTTCATAGCAGGGTTGTTGCGAATATTATTCGGAAATAAAATCTTTTCCTTTGGTATCAAATGAAAGAGGACTTAAATATGTAGCTTTAAAACTGAAATGTATAAACGAGGGAAGTCACAAATTGAAACATGTTTCAATAAAAAATTTTAATTAATTACTATAGAAAAAACCTTGTGTCAGGAATATGCATTTCTTTAGTATTAAATTATGAAAGAAATATAAATAGAGGCCGTTCATTATTTCTAAATAGTTCTAGTTTAAAGCTATTTCAGTCCTCTTTCATATGATACCAAATTTGTTTAATTTGGATAGGCGGTTTCTTTAGTATCCGAAAAGGACTTTTATTTTGGAATAATATTCGCAAAAACCGTGGTTCATAGTATGAGCGGCTAGTTCTTGTATATTCTTGTATGTTCTAGTATATGTTGACATGTATGAGTATTACCGTANTTATCCGAAAAGGACTTTTATTTTGGAATAATATTCGCAAAAACCGTGGTTCATAGTATGAGCGGCTAGTTCTTGTATATATATTCTTGTATGTTCTAGTATATGTTGACATGTATGAGTATTACCGTATTAGTAAAGTAAATACGATTAAAATGCCAGTTAAGTTCATAGTATGAGCAGCTAGTTCTTTTATTTTTTTACTTGCATATATATTTTTATAACATTTTATGGCACTTTATTAAATTCTTCGCATTATCTCCTTTTACTTCCCATTAGATGGTTGCGAAAAGTAAATACGATTAAAATGCCGCTTAACTCTTTTATTTTTTTATTTGCATATACATTTTTATAATATTTTATGCCACTTTATTAAATTCTTCTTCTATGTCCTATATACTTCCCATTAGATGGTTGCAAGAGACATTCGATGTACCGCTGGTTATACAGTTAACTGATGATGAGAAATCGCTGTGGAAGGATCTGAAAATTGAAGAAGCTATTAAATTGGCATATGAAAACGCAAAAGATATTATAGCTATCGGTTTTGATGCAGAAAAAACTTTTATCTTCAACGACTTGGATTTCATTGGGTAAATTTTTAGTTTATTAAGTTTTATGTCTATTTTAATGTATGCATATTTGTTTCAGGAAATGCCCTGCAATGTATCAGAACATTATTCGCATTCAAAAATGTGTCACCTTTAATCAAGTAAAAGGTATATTCGGATTTGGTGACTCTGATATCATTGGAAAAATTGGTTTTCCTGCCGTACAAGCTGCACCAGCACTCTCCAGTACGTTCCCTTTTATTTTTACTGGAAAGAAACCAGTACACTGCCTTATACCATGTGCGATCGATCAAGATCCGTACTTTCGTATGACACGTGACGTTGCACCACGCTTGGGGTTTCCAAAATGTGCGCTGCTACATTCAAGCTTTTTCCCCGCACTTCAAGGCGCGAAATCAAAAATGTCAGCCAGTGATCAGAATTCAGCAGTATTCCTTACCGATACACCAAAACAAATAAAGAATAAGATTAATAAATATGCATTTTCGGGTGGACGTGCCACAGTCGAGGAGCATCGCAAATTGGGGGGTAACCCAGAAGTGGATGTAGCATTCCAATTGCTGAAATTTTTCCTAGAAGATGACGCCAAGTTGGAAGAAGTGCGAACTGCATATGTGAAAGGTGAACTTCTAACCGGCGAATTAAAAAAGATAGCTATCGAAGTGGTTAGTCCTATCGTTGAAAAGCATCAAAAATCGCGTAAAGCTTTAACCGGGGAGGCATTGGCTAAGTACTTCGAAATACGTACATTGAAATTTGCGCATTAGTGTTGGAATAAAATTACACTGAAATGTATTTCATAGAATGAATATTTATTTTTGATTGATTATGTGAGATTATTGTCCAAGGAGAGCTTTACATTAAGTTGCAGTAATTACTTAACTTAGAAAAGTAATAAATATAAACAAATCGCCTGCGTACGGGATTATTTGTTATTTATAGTGGACTAAACTTTTTTTTTTGTTCGAGTATATGTACATATATCTGTAATAGTAAAACGGTAATATCTATTGACCTACTTATGATTTATTTATAGATTTTCTATCCTATGCATGCACCCTGCAGGAAACATCTGGTTCCAAGGTTTTCTTTTGCCTATGCATATAAGTAGTTCTACTATGACTCAAACGTACCATTTAATTCCATTCAGGTGGTCTACTCATTGTGTAGTGATTCGAAAAGCAAATCATTCGGATTTGAATAATACGCTTTATGAATTTGTATTATTCCCTGTTGCCTTTCGAATCGCTGGGTTTTCAAAATAAAGCTCCTTCCTGTCTATGGCTGGTTCCGAAACGTCCAACGTTCCCTCTGTTCGGAAATGCATGAATGCAAAAAATAGTATGTTTTATTTCTTAACTATAATTACATAATCGGAATGCCCGATTCGCGTAATATTCAATCGCATTTAACTGTTGTTACGAAATACCTTAAAAGCTTAAACGCATAATAATATTGGAAAATCACATCCGTTGGGCCAATCTTAACACAGGAGAGCTCGATATACTCAATGGTGCAACAGGTCGATTTAATCTGACATTCAGGGAACCTTTCCTCACTTGGCGATTTTTAGTAATAACTCGACTCCAACGCCACCTGGCAGCACTTTCTGTAATTGTATTGCTCTTACCGTTATTAATACATATTTAGAGATATTAGCTAAATAGAATAAATACGATTTTTAGTACTAACTCAACTAAGTGCCAACTGGCGGGTTAAATTGTGAAACGAAATCATCCAGAGACCCACGCAAAGACACACAAAAAATCCAGTTAAAATCCGGACACCCATTTAGGAGGACTTCACTCACAAACACACCTACAGAACAATTATAAATACATTCAAAGATAGCTAAAGTCGGTACGTTTGTAGGCCTTTTCAAATAGCCCCATTTTTCTTCGTGGGTATGGGCTTGATTTCATATACATACATACATATGTCCATACGAAGTCCCAGTACTGCACCATGAATACTTCCAAAAATAATGCAGTATGAAAAATTCGGTTTGTATGGGAGCTGCCACGCCTCCTTTTCAAATAAACTCAATTTTTCTCTATGAGACCTCCGTACCAAGTTCTAATATTCTATCATGAATTCTTCCAAAAATATGCAGTATGAAAAATTCGGTTTGTATGGGAGGTGCCATGCCCCCTATTCCGGTGGCACCAATTTTTCTCCAAAAATATGCGATTAAAGCAAATTCCCGCTTACTTCGCGGCGCCTAATCGATGATAGGAGATTGTGTGGGTAATTTGTCTATTTCAGGGATATTTGGCAAAAAACAACTATACAATGAGAAAATGGACATTTCATAGAAAAAACGATTACCCACAGTTGGTTAGGTTAGGTTCTGCTGGCTGACCTTAAGAGGCTCATATAGACGAATATAACGTCCATAACATTGCCAGATCCGATTACGACCTATGAACCACTGCTTTCACGCAATGTTAAAGAACATAAACCTTGATTCTGTTCTTCTTGTGGATAGTAGGAAATCGGCAAGTTTCCTATCGTATGAACTACAAACCACATAATCTTTGCATGGCTGCAACCCTGAGTTCTTTTTCAAAGCTTCTCCCCTTGGCGGCACATGAGTAGATCTTGTGATCTTTTGATTTGCCGAAGAGGAATTCGTGTATTCGTCACTAGTGAAGCGTCTAAGAGTAAGCCCTCCTTGGCTAGCTCGTCAGCTCCACACCCTTGTGTTCCGGAAGCCAATATATATGGGCGATTTTAGCCATCTTATAGCCTCCTTAGAGTCCGCGAAGGTGATTTAATTTGTTTTTATGAAGAAAGAGACTTAATTGCCGCCTTACTATCTGTGTAAATGTTTACTTGCTCGCTGGGCGGGTTAATTTTTGCTAGTATCTCTGCCGCTTATTTTATTTCAATGACCTCGACTTGATAGTTATACAATGATCTGGTAGCTTAAATGACCTTAGAATTACGGATTCGGTGCAGTATACTGCAGCCCCTTCGCCCATTTTAGAATTGTCTGTGTAGATGTGCGTTTCGTTCCCTTTCGTTCTAGAGACCTTTCGAAATTCGGACGCAGGATCATGTAGTCTGTTCGACCGGTTAAGGATGACGCTATGCTACTGTGACCCTACGTTCTGAATCCAGTCTTGAACGCTATCTTCTTGGCTACCAAGTCCATTGGTGGTATGTGGAAGATTGTGTGGAGCGCCGCTGTCGATGCTTCCCTTAAGGTAACCCGTTATACTGCTCATTGAGAGCTTGTAAACACTCCGCAGTTTTTTAAGGTAAGTCTTCTTTTTCGTTCC